GAAGGTCCATTATAAAAATAGGTGGTACGATTAATTCTATTCATACTATTGTTTTTTATTACAAAAAAGGAATTTTTAATAACTTTATTAATTTTATTTTTATATACATTTAACATAAATTTCCGTTTCAATTTTACTTTACACAATTCATTCTGTAACATTTTTTGTGTCCATTTTTTATAAATATTCTGGCAAGTTTTCCATTATATTAATTAACTGACTGACCCTAGCGGATAATCCATACAAACCTAATATTTGGGTCTGATTTTAATACATTTAGGGCTTAGCACAACTTCAATTCAATAATGTATGATATGCAAAGGTGTAATACTCATATATAGTAAACCATCCATTACAAATATGATTTACAATCTGCTATGGTTTAACCATTACGTTTCCTTAAACTTATTATTTAAATATTCGCTTTATCCTTCATTAGATTTCATAAATTAACAAAAGCTTGTAACATTTGAAGACAGCAAAAGACAAAAAGACAAACTATTTCTCAAGGAAATAGTTAGTGCAATCAGGATATATGTTATTTTATCATTAAAAAAACAAAAACGAATGTGTATTTTAAAAATGATAAACTTCAATAATAACGATCTAAAAGAAAAAGCTAAAGTAATTGAAGCACATTGACAAACACTCCAAGAGGTATTTTTAGGAAAACACACATATATATAAATATAAATAAAATTAATAAATTAATTATTTAAAAGAATAAAATGTTTTGAAATTTAAAAAATAATTACTGATTGATGCATTCAAAAAAGGCAAATTCCAAAATCTTAAATTCCCATATGCAAAAGAATATTTGAAGTACAACAAATACTAAATGTTCAGAACGCTATAACTGCATCGAATCATCAGATTTCGATGATTTTTTTAACATTTTGTAGAGAATTTAGTACTTTTCCTACTTTAACATACTTTTCGAGTTATTTCCAAATTATGAATTCATTTGTAATGTCTCGATTCGTTGAGGCGGCATGGTTTGAAATCTCCCAATTATACATTCACTTTTATTTAAGTCCTGGTATAAAATTAGGAATCAAAATTACGATTCACGGACTCTACCTAATATTTCCTTTCTATTGATACCTCATTCGCCAAAATCCATCACTCCTGAGAGCCGGAAAAGGGATACGTATTTGAGAAATAATATGTAAGATTATATTTCTCTCTTCTCAACACAATTTGATGATATTCTATCATGTAATCAGTGTGTCTCAAAAATAAATATACTATTTTTTACAAATGGGCTATTCCTATAGAAAGGCCAAACCCTCGCCCCCTTCCTTTTATGGCATCTTTGTCAAAGGAATTAATCAGAAACTATTTTAAGATATGATTAGTAGGTTAATTGTAAACAACATGATTTCCTACATTATAAAGATTTTAGAAGAAATACTATTTTTAAATATCAAATTTTTAATGCCTTCACTAAGTCCCAAACCACGTTCAGAAAATTTAAGAAAAGGGCTAAATCAAACAGAATAATTATTTTGTTTCATTATTTTCTGAACTGACAAAGTAAAGTTCCAACTGTACTTAGAAGTCTTAGAAGTTTTATATTGAAGAAAAATAATACAATCTGCCACAATCTGGGACATAGAGCATTATGGCTCTATGCTTGCATTCATGCATAATGCATGAATTGTTCTAGTACTTTAAAATTATAGTAAAACAGTAAGCAGCGTATTAAAGATGGTTTACGAGTTTTGTTTGATTTCCTCAACAGGTGAGTAATTTTGATTCCAGCAGGGACTTAATATATCAAATGAGGACTAAAAGACAGCGATAAGTGTTGCTTCATCCTCCATCCAAATTTAGAAGGGGGTGCAAGTCTTAATATGTTCAATGGAGTCAAAGGATGCCACCTGTTTCTTTTTTTCAGGAGTTGAAACATTTTTAGAAAGTGCCATTTTAACATTTTCAGTGAAACTTTTTAGGAAAAAAGTTCCATTTCATCAGTTCTGTGAAACTTTTTAGGAAAAAAGTTTTTAAAACAAAAGTCCTAATGACTTTTTAGTAACAAAGTTCCAGATTTACGGTAAAAGTTTAACTTGTATTTGTTTAAGTTCAGTTAAATGAAAAATAAACAGCAATTGGGCTTAGATTAGAATTATAATTTGTCTTAAATGAATTATACATGATTCTAATGTCATTTGTTTGAGAAGCTGTGAATAGAAGTCAATTTTAAAATAGGCTTTTTAGCAAAATCGACAAAATTTTTAAATGAAAGATTTTTTAAAATAAAAGTTCGGTAAATCTTTACTTAAAAAGTTTTTAGGGGAAAAGTTCTAAAAGAACTAAAAAACTACGGGCAATAAAAATTCTAGAGATAACTAAACTTTTTAAAAATACAATTTTTTTTCCGTTTCAAGCTCTGTTTTTGTTTTTTTTTTCATTTTGAGATTGTATTGTATTTTTATTGATTCATTCCTAGGCTCCAATAAACAAGGTATTTTTTTATTTTATTTCTTATATTAATTGTAGAGACAATATATAAACAGATCTGCACCTCATAATTTTTTATTCTTATATTATATAACTTATTAAGTTATATCCAAAAGATCTTGCGCGGTGAGTGCATCATACAACTTTCACTTACCATTCTTCTTTGAGAAGAAATTAATATTAAACAAATGGATAAATTCTAAGAAAGTTTCTTAAATCATAAATATAAACCAATGACAATTATCATAAAATACTATTATCTGGTTCACTATTTATTTATAGGTTCAAGTTTCAAAAGTTTTTATTTAGTTTCAATGAAAATATTTATTTCCCATTTAATAATACTAGTGTTCGCCCAGTGGTCGAAATTCAACCATAGCCATTAAAAATTTGAGGAAATATAAATAAAAATAAATTCAATAAATAAAGAGTAAACCATGAATCAAAAATCCTCATTTATTAATATAAATAAAATTTCAATTTCAATTAAAAATCGAGCTTAAACTACTTAAAATTATTTATAAGTAATACAAAATAGACTCATTCAAAATTTTTAATTTATGTGTGTTATTATCACAATAAATTAATGTTATGATTAAGTAAGTAAAAAATATATTTAAATTAGTAATTTCAACTGAATTTAAATGCATTTTTATGCAGAACTTCTGTGTAAACAATGTTCTTTTTGAATGTTCTGTTATTGTTTAGTGCATAGCCTTGCCCATTGCCATTGAAAATATAAATTTCAATATTTTAAATGAACGTGCTCTACTTGCTGCCACATATAATTGTCCATGCGAAATTACTAGATGTCACAATAATACACACATTTTTCCAAAACTTTGACCCTGCGATTTGATTATGGTCATGGCAAATGCAGCTATTAATAAGAACGTTGTTCTTTGGAATTTGAATGGAAGTATTGTGTCAGAAAATATTTAATTAATTCTTAGAATTAAAATTCTTTTATTTAAAGTAGCTCCCGTCAGTACTTCACTCTCATTTGTGTTCCGTTAACTGATGCTTATGCAGTATTTAAGTTATTAATGAGTATAACTATAGAATTTATTTTATGAGGTAACATTCAATGATATCATCTCTTCAAATAATAATCCCAATTATCTCAGTAAATGTAAAGTTTTTGATTTATCAAAAACCAAAATAAAGGAAATCGAATTTGCAAAAGAAAAAGTACTAAATGTTTAAAATGATATATCTCTGCAACATATAGTCCGATTTTTATTTATTTTATTTTGTAGGGAATTCAGAAAGCTTTCAAATAAATATTGGTATTATCGATAAAAAATTGTGTACCTTTTGAATTATTCGCAAATAAAATACTAAATTCATCATAAATGTTCATGCAGCTTATTTTCAGGAAAGTATGTTATATACACAAATTATAAATGTTTCAAGGGGAAGACTTTAAGCAAGTTCCATTAAAATCGTTAAAGCCGTGTTGGCGCTACAGTCTAAAGCAAATCACGTATTTGGCCGCCATTTCGAAAGGAAAGGCTTGATGATAATGAAACATATACAAAAAACACTTCTAATAATTATTGCAACGTTGTGTCAAAATTTCAAAGAAATCAGTGAAGAACTTTCGGAGATTAGCTGTTTTGAACAAACTACCATTTATATATTTATTTACCCGTGATCTCCTAATGTAGTCATATCATTAGAGTGCTACCATTGGGTAGTTACTCAGCAAGTGCATTCATGTCATTATATCTATTATGTCCAAATTTACTTGATGTATTTATGTAATACAGTTGTAAATGTCATTAAGAAATAAAAAAAAAATAAAAAAATTTACAAACTATTTCATATTTTTATTTATTGATAACACTAAAGTTCGTCAATAGCTATTAAACAAAAAAAGAAGGAAGGAAATCAGTTGAATAAAAGAGGAGAAAAGGGGCTGAACCGTTTTGTGTTTGCCTATTTATATAATGATAGAAGTAGCCATTATTGACTGGAGTAGCTCAAACATATTAGCTTTTTGTCACACTCCGTAAACTTCTGCAACCATATATGATAGATATTAATCATATATCTACATTTCACCTATTATTTCTGGAAATTTCAATTTACAAAAATATTTCTTCCATTTTTTTCCTTTAGTTAATTATCTCATTCTTTCATAGTTCATATTCATCCATTCTGTACTACTACTAACAATGAGAAAACTTTAATTATTTCTAATAAACAAAATTAAAGGATTGGAATCATCAGAATTGTTTTCGAGAAAATTGTAAATATGTGTAAAATGACACTTATAGTCACCGCAACATTCCAGGAGTATAGCTATCTCTAATAGATAATTTCGGTTTAGTACAACTTTTAATTGTTGGCAAGGGTATTCAAACACACACACACATACAGAACAATTTGTGTGAGTTAAATAATAGGATTCCAGAAATCTTAGAACGTATATTTCTGTAAAAAAAAAAACTTGGATTCGAAATATTTTCTCATAAAATATATTATATACATAAGTTTATTAAAGAAAAAAGAAAGATAATTTATATCATTACCTTTAGTTTTAACTCGACTTTTTCTTGCTTTGAAATTTTCAGGTTCTTTAATTTTAATAAATTCACCACCACAACTGGCTTGGTGCTCTGCATACCAAAAGTCATTGGGCCCAGGTGCTCTGTTCATGGCTCTTTTAACAAGACCGAAAAATGGTTTTCTACTTTGACAAGGACCATTACACCTCCACCAATGTTGTTTGTAATGGGCTACTTCATCATGGAAAGAATGATAAACCTAGAAAAGTAAAATCATCAGAACATTATTAGGTAAATTATAAATACGATGAAAATCAAATCAAGTCCTAGATAATAACAAGTTATAAAAGTATCAAACTCTCAAAGAGAAATCAGTTCTTAACAGTTACTATTTAAATATGTAACAATAAACACCATTAGTGTGAATAAAGCAGAACAGATGTATGATAAAAGAAGCTAAAAAATTTCATTCTGTTGCTGAATATCAACTAGGTAAAATGTTTTGATAATTTCCAATATACCTAACAAAGTGGGGTTATGGATGTGGGATCGCTAATTTCAATGAAAAATTGTTTCGTGATTCTAGGTAGAAAAATTTCAGACCCATGGGCAAGAGTTCTTGCCAATGTAGCCTAAGTAGGATATCCGAGAAATAGAGACAGAAAAAAGTTTATAGCAAAATAAAGCTGGGAGCCATTGCAACTTTTCATCACAGTATTATAAGGTTTCAATCTCAAATACTAAACATCTAAATGGAAATTATAACCACAAACAAATAAAATTACCACCCTTGTATAACTAGATATTGCAGGCTAAATCAAGACACTATTTTTCAAGATATTAACAATAATTAATGAAGTGATCAATGAAATATGACTAAATATAAAAGGAATATTTAAACAGTAAACAATTGAAATAAGAATATGAATTAGATATTTTAAACATTTACTAAAATCAAACCCTCCATTCTTACTCCCTATCCTTAATAATATAATTAATAATACATGGCCCATAAAACTTATACAGAGAAACAATATAAATAAAAAGAATATGTTAAAATATAGCAGTGTCATGTTGACAAGTATGCAAAGATCACACACATATTCTTGGAAAACTTTATAATTTAGTTGTAATGTGCTTTATTAAGTTGTTCTTTAGGTAGTTTTCATTTTTCATTTATTTCTTCAATTTAATGACTATTATTTTAATTAAAAGGACTATTATTTAAATAAGAGGTTGAAAAAATAAATATACTGGATATGAAAGTAGTTATTGAAAGGCTTAAAACACCTGGCATTCTGATAGCATCTAAAAAAAAAGATATTGACCATCTGGAAAGAACATTTCTAGCAGCTTTTCAATAAAGAGGATTCCATGAATGAAAAAGACGTGGACCACACTAAGGGTCTCGACCCAGAGGAAATTGAAAAACTGGACGTCGAAATAGCTATAGAAAGGCCCAAAGGATGGACAACTTACGATTAGAGTTGTTGAAAGATAGGGAAGAAGATCTAAGAGCGAAGCTTCTAAAGTTAATCCAGAAAACATAGGAGGAAAGGAAACCATAGGCAGAGATTACAGACCTAAATTGCCCTATCCTAAAGAAGGACTCTATGACAAACAGGTGTTCTGAAAGTTAGCTAGAAGTTAGAAGTAGCTTAAGATATGCAAGTTTTATTTGTCAATTTTAAAGCAGCCTATGATTTCATGGACAGAAATTGTCTTAGGAAAAATATGACTGGACTGGGAGTTCTCAGGAAGTTGATGAGATTGATAGAGTCAGAATAAATGATCCTAAACGTAAATCTTCATAAAGAGAAGTATCTGAAAAATTCAAAATGTAAAACTAGTTTACAGTAGTGCAATGGACTCTCACCGATGCTGTTTATGTTAGCACTGGAGGTCATAAGAACATCATGGTAAAATGGAGCAGTGCATGTCGGAATGAATTATAAAATTCTTAGATATGCAGGTGATACAGTTACCCGTGGAAGCAATCAAGAGGATATTCAGAAAAACAGAGAAAATTGGCTTAGGAGCAAATGAAGATAAAACAAAATTTATAAAGTAAAAAATTCGTCCCCAATAGCAAAATCTGAGTAGAAGAGAAATCGTACCCAAAAGTAGTCAGATTCAAATACATCGGCTCCACAATAACAACAATCAATGACCAACGGTCTTCTCTCTTTTATGGTTATTAAAATCCAGAAAAATCTCAAATTAAGGCTGCACAATGCTATCATATAGTCAGTTCCGATATACGGCTGTATATTGACCAACACCATAAAAAGAAGTATCAAAAAATTTAAGACTAAAATTCTTCTCATGATAACCAAAGTGATCTGGAATCAGAATACTAATGCCTGTAAGATAAGAACCGATAAATAACTGATTTAAAAACTGGATAGGATAAGTAGCAAGCAAACCATCAGGAAGCCTCTACAGGATGATAAATACATCAACAATTTGCAAGACACCACATGGAAGATTGGAAAAAAAAACAGATGAATAGATTGAGTCAACAAAGATGCTGCATTCAGGAAACTGTAAAGCAATAGTCCAAGAGAGGCAGCGGTGGAGAAGGCTGATTCAGGCAGCCAAGCATCTACAAGTCCTGAAAAGCCAACACGAAAAAATATATTAATAAAATTCCTAGCTATGTTATTCTTCCTATTTGAAATTACTATACTTAATGTTCCGAAAAAATACAAGTTATTTGAATTTGTTGATCAGAAACATAAAACTTATGCTGATTTTGACATTTGGTATCTATAATAACCTAAAGTATGAAATATGTGGTTCAAACAGTTATCTATTAACAGGAAGGTTTGAAGATTGGTCATTTCAGAATGCTTTTGAACACATTAGGCTAGTTTTGGCATTCCGCAAATGGTATGATAATAAGATTTTAGTGGACCTGTTAACCTAATATGACACTACTATAGATTTACTAGAGAATATACTATGTACATATTATATCAAAAAAAAATTCCAACCGTTATTTTTGTTCCTGCTGCTTTATTAATTCGATGCATATGTTCATGAAACAGAGGTCCATGCTCTTCTCGATCTTGCTTGTTGGCAGTGAGAAACAAATAAGCGTGGATCATTTCATGCTGTAAAAGAACAAAGTAATAACAATCCTATATATTTTGGAAGTGATTATCATAATTTAATTATCATTTAAATGAATTGATAAAAATTACCAAAAGAGTTTCAACCAAATCTTTACGAGGTCTCAATTGCAACAACGGCAAACTCAAACTTATACAGCAACCACCTCTTTTACCTTTATAATAACAGACACCAGCACATCTAAAATTTTTGACAAGAAACTTAGTGATAACATTTTTTAACTGTATATAAGGCAAAAATGAGTTCATAAATAACTCTTTAAGACATCAACAACTTACGTATACATCCGTTTACTCCATTTAACTTCTACACTCTGAAGGGAACTCCAAAAAAATTTCTTGTCAAAAGTTTGGAAAAGAGCATATACGTCAGGATTAGGGTCTAACTTCTCCCATTCAGCATCTATGATTGATGAGTGGTCTTTTTTGTGTTTCTTGGCCTAAAATATGAATGGACAGTAGAGAAATTGAATGAAATTAAAAAATAATACAGAATTACTGTACTAAAACTATTACGGGGACGGAAACATCACCACCACCATTTAATTCATTCTGTAATTGTAAAGCTAGTTCGTAATCCGATAAACTAGCCATTGCATAAAAATAAATAACAAAATTGATCACAAAATAAAATTAGGGATAAAATTTATTAGAATATTGAACTAGAAACTACATAAGAATAACAAATCGTTCATTATGGAAATCAACATCGAAATCGAGATCGTTTTGAACTGATAACATTGTAAAGAGATATTAGATAGTAATGATATTCCATTAGACTTTAAATGTATATAAGGCAAAAAACATTTGCAATTTACTTGTATAAAGAATCAAGTAGTCATGCAGATTATGCTCATGTTCGTATGACATTAAATAAAAGTAAATATATTGATCTTCATTACCACCGCACAAAGGCGAAGGCACCGCAGGGTCATCCATCATTTTTATAAAGGGCCGCCACAGTGTCATTGATTTTACAATAATTCAGTGAGTTAGTTAAAAACTCGAAAAATAGTTCAATAAAGTACACAAGTGATAATTATATTACAACCATATATCGCTCTAACGTTGCCCTCACTCCAATGGTTCATAAGTTCATAAGTTCATAATAATTGTTTATCTTAACTATGTTCAATTAACTGTAGTGCTTGACTAACCTACAACACGGCAACTCAGACAACAGGTATAAAAATAACTTAAACTCTTCAGAAAAAGTAAAGATGCCTGAACAATCCCTTATGAGTGAATGATGAGCATATCTCTAGTAAGTTACTGGATGTACTGGGGATCAGAGATGCCCAGAAGGGGGTTTCATGGCGCCAGTTGCGCCATCAAAATTTTTGTGGTGGCATATTTTGACGGGTTTTTGAATTTTAAAGGGTGAAAAGTTCGACGGAATTGTGAATTTTAGGATTGAGGGACATGGGATGAAACATGGAACAGATCGCGACAAGTGTAAGTGTATATGATCTACAATTTTTCTAATTCTATCTTAGCTTGCTCTGTTTTTAAAAAGAGATGAGCAACAAAATATTTTGGGTGGATCGGGGACGAGCTATCCCTCCCCTCCCCCTCCCCTAAGGTTCTAGCACCATCAACCTAGGGGAGGGATGGGCACCACTGCTGGAGATGAGCTGGTTGATAAATCTGAAAAAAATTGTAATAATGGATCCATGAACACACTTTACCTGTTTATTAAGCTTTGAATCCAATCTCTTACCTCTCGGCAAACGTAGACGGAGGACCCAAAAGTAATGTCATTTCTGAGCATGTCACTATTTGATTGTCATTCGGGAGCTCATTATGTACATCTATGTTGTGGTAAAGACATTCTAAGGTTATAGTGACTTCTTTAGTTGTAATTAATTAAATTTAAATTTTTGTTGCTGTTATTTTTGGCAATGTGACGTATTATGACTAGTGAGAAGATTTGAGTACAGGATGAAGTGAATCATTACCAGCTCTGTAAGGTTTATTATTAGCACTTCAAGAGGCTCTCATGTTTACCTCAGACAGTGGTAAACATCCTTGTTGACTCCTTGGAACTTGCCTTTCAAAATTATGAACACCCATTACCCTCAATTCAAGTTCTCAATGTATTCATCGAACAAATGATTTCATATTTGTAATCTTTATCTCACAATATAGAACTACAAGTAAACATTCATTTCTTTCCAACAACCCTTGGAAAACTTATTCCAACTATCTGCAATACTTCTTCCTTGAATAATTCTAAACCCTCTTTTCCTCTTATTTCATTAATCTTCCATCAGGAACTAAGTTTTTACTTTGAGCAAACATTATTTTTTTCATTAATGTTTAGTTTTGATTATATAAATTATTGGGAGAATTTAGTTTTTATTAAAGTACGTCTTGACCAATAAACTTATTATTGATTATTATTTTTATTGGGTTGGCAAATAAGTCCTTTCGGTTTTTCAGGGTGAAATAAAACTCAATGTATGATAGACAAAAAATTTATATTAATCTACAATATTGCCATGTTTCAGTGACTGTATAACGCCATATTCATAGATAGTTTGGAGCACGGGCGGATCTACGGGGAGGGAGGGGAGGAGCTTTCGGGCTGAAGTCCCCCCAAAATGGAAAAATATAACAATGTTTTATGGTAATTTTTTTTTTTAAATACCTCTTAAAGTATTATTGTTCGTGTAATTACATTTAAAATCACTTAAGGAATCACTTAAACACCATTTCATATAGGTAGTTAGTTTCTTTCTGTTTTTCCAAAGTAATTATCGTTATTTTTATGAAAAAAAAAAGTTTCGGGCTGAAGCTCCCCCCAAAATTAAATTCTGGATCCGCTAGTGGTTTGGAGTTTATTGTTAAAAAACTGATCCAAGTCCAAGTGGTTTTTGATGTCCTCTTCCATTTTGGAATTTCTTTCCATTCATGGAGTTCTACAGAGACCGAAATATATGGTAGTCACTTGGAGCCTAGGTCTGGTGAATAGGGAGGGTGGGACAAAAGGTCCCATCCAAGGCTCAATAATTTATTGCGAGTGACCAATGAGGTGTTGGACCTAGCGTTGTCTTGGTGGGACACAACACTCTTCCGATTTGCCAGTTCTGGACGTTTATTTCTAATTGATTGATTCAATTTGTTAATTGTGAGCAGTATAGAGTTGAACCAATTGTTTGTCCAGATGACAATAGCTCATAGAAAATAACACCCTTGAAATCCCACCATATGGAAAACATTATCTTCTTTGGATGCAATTCGGGTTTTGACTATCGTAAAATATCCATTTTTCATCTCCTGTTACCAACTGTTAGAGAGTGAGGGACCCAAACATTAAGCCTGGAAACATAGCCGAGCTTGTGCAAATGGTTTTCTTCGCTTAGGGTCATATTAATCTCTCGCACTGATTGGGTGGGAGTTTGATCAACAATGGCCTTAACATTGCTCGTTTCAATTTCATGTGGGCGACCAGACCGTTGAGCACCATTGATTTCAAAATTTTCTCAATGAAATTTGGCAAACCAATTTTGACAGGTGTGTTCTGTTAAGGCATTATCCCCATAAATACTGCAAATTTTTCTATGTGCTTCTGCAGCATGCTTACCTTTTTAAAATAATACAGCAAAATATGCCGATAATGAATATTTTCTTCCATACTATCAGTGCAATAGCAAACACAATACTAAACTGGTTTCAACAAGAATTAACAGATATAGTTGTTGATGTATTACAAACAGGATAAACAATCCACCTTAAGAGATTAATTCATCAGATAAGAAGTGTATCATAGTTGGATAAAAATAAACAGAAAACCGAAAGGACTTATTTGCCAATCCATTAGTTATGCCATCCCTAGTGAATGCACATGAAATAGAGGAGCAGGGTAGCTCAGTGAGTAAGGCACTACAATTCTGTTCTAGTTCTCGGTTCGAGTTAGATTGTTGCAGGAAATTTATTCTGTAACACCAGCCTTGAATCACCTCTGGAGTCGGGACACTCTTCCTCTTATAAAGTAGGTACTCTCAATTAATTGATCAAGGGAGAAAACCTAGCAGCTGAGTGTGATCTCGGTCTAATTATCTCCTTATGCAACCGTTGATAAAGAAACAGTACTTCCTTACAAACTGCTAAATACATGACCCGTCATGGGTCGGAATGGCAAAGGTTTATTTTCTCTTTTGATCTTAATAACTATATAGTTCTATAATTAATAACTATATAGAATATACTTAGTAGCTATATAGAACTAAGTAAATAGTATGATTTATTTACTATATAGCAATATGGCACATTGCCCGATATGTAGCAGCACCTCGCCCAAAAAATATTTTATGTTGTGCTAAATGTAAAATATTATTTCACAGGAGGTGCGGTAAGCTCATTGATAAAGAGTTTGAGGCTCAAAAAAAGTGTGGATGTGTTCTAGTTAGATGTGGATGTGTGGCGAACAGCCTAAAAAGATTCCACCAGGCTTGATAATTATTTTAATGGGGAAATAAAAAATATTAAATTAGCTCCAGATAAGAACGGAGACCTGACTTCGAACGAAATACTAGAATATCTAAAATTGAAAACCACTAAGAAGAACAATCTAAACATCTTGAAGAAATAATTTCAGAAAATAAAGCCCTCAAAGCTAGAGTGGGTGGATTGGAGGTCAGGCTGGATAAAGACGAACAGGGCCTGCTTAGTAGATTGCTTGACATCCAAGGCATTCCGGTTCGAGCAGGTTAGACCCTCGCAGCCTTGGTTACAAGTATTGGGGCCGGCCAGGGCTTCAAACTTAACGCTGGAGACGCCCTTTAATAGACACAGCAGCACCGAAGATCCTGGAAACACGACCCGCGACCACCACGAAATTCGTCGGGCAGTCAGTGAGGGGCGACCTGGTACAAAAGTGAAAAGTAAAAAGAGAGTTTTCGACGCGGAAAATCGGTTGACAGGAAAACTACTGCCACCGTATCTATCTCAGCGAGGAGATGATCCCGACAAACAGGCACGTATACTGGCTCGCCCGACAGAAGAAAACAGGGGGGAGGGAATTAAAATATATATGGTTCTCCGGTGGCAGAACGCGGTGACGAAAGGGCGACGATCATCAGGTCGTCTTTATCGACCAGAGTCATGATCTAGATGTCTTCGGCTGTCTTTTTATCTCTTGTTTACTTCTCAATACTTACAGGACTTACATTGAAAACTGGGTCGTATGGTAATGTTATGATACTGTTGCACCTTTTTAATTCTTTTATTTATATTAATAAACCTTCACATGTTTTTTTCCTTTTGATCTATTGTTTGATTATTTCTCAATGCTTACTTCATTTCATCTAATGTAACCAGCGTCTTCCCATCAAATTCTGACTTTACTTTTCTGATTCCTAATCAGGTCATAGCGTCCTTACTACCTGTCACGTCAACTCCCAATGCCTCCCAGCCCATTAAGATGAATTCCTAGAATACTTCACCCAAAATTGTTATCATATCATAGCAATTTCCGAAACGTGGCTCAGCTCAAGCATTACATCCCTTCCACATCTGTTTCCCTTTCTAACTACACACTAATCCGCCAGGAAGGAACTGTAGCTTAGTACTAGACTGGCAGAGGTGTAGCTTTGTATGTTCAGGAATGCCTGAAGACGCAAATACTCCACTGCTCTCCTCCATCTGATCACCCACATGTTGAGTTCCTGATTCCTGAAGTTTCCTCTGATAAATCTCCTATCCTTCATATCGTAGTATATAACCTCCTCATGTTCCCTTCCATCCATCATTTGAATCATCCCTCTTCAACTTTGTTCCTCTTTATTCCAAAATAATCATTTCCAGTGACTTAAACAGTATCTCCTTTTTGACGCCAGTGATAAATCATTTCCTTATCTCAAGTCATCTATCCACTTCCTCTCCACAAGATCTCCTGCTTCTTACCTTCATACCCCTTTCCACAGATATGCCTCATTTCAACACTCCTGTATTGTCTGCTCCACTTAAAATGTGCCATCATTATCCATATTTAAAACTCCATATTATTCCAATTCCTCCTTACAATTCAATCATCCACTGGGTAATTATTCATAATGTGAAAAGGTTTCATTTTTCTCTATACAACATTTAAATATGTATTTTTCTTTTATGAGTATGGAAAAGATTTTCAGTCCCTTTTCACTGAGAATTTTTTTTTCTATTTATAAGATTATAAGTCTTTGAGATGTATTTAATTTTTTACTGATATTGAACACACTCCTCTATATGTATATTATCTTTGTTTGTTTTCTAACATCAATCTACATCTCAGAATATAGATGATATAAGACTTTTCTAATGTTTACAATACCATTATAAGTACTCATTTGAAAATATTAAGGTACAGATGGAAATAATTTATTGTAAATATTTATTAACTTTTTTATTATTTTTTTCATTACAATGGTTTGACAACAAAAGGGATTTATATTTATTTTCCAATTTCATTTAGTTATTTCTTACTTTATTGTTTGTAGCAACTATTTTGCAATATTGTGACCTTATTGCTCATTTTTTTTCTTTAATATATCTGTAAATACTTCTTTTATTATTTATGTTTTAGTTATTATTTATTGTAATATGTATTTTGGCCAGCTTTAATGTTAATTTTTATGATCAATATTGTTATTCTCAAGGGCTTGCTCCCAGAATAATGTTGATTCTTCTTCTTCTAACTCATTCTGAAAGGCGGCCATACTGCCGAGCTTTTAAAATTTGACTACATAATATAGACTAATCTATTTTATTATTAAGAATAATAACATAAAAATTAATTTTATTCTAAAGGGCAAGGTATTTTAATTAATTAATAGTAAGAAAAATGTGGTTAATCTACATAAATAAACTTCGAAGACGTTTCTTGTCAGTGGAAAAAGATATTGCCGAACTGTCACTCATCAGCTCATGATCAAATCATTTTAAAATAAGGGAGCGTGAAGGCTTCTCTGAATCTGTGAAATACGATTAAATTATATATTAAGGGCTAAAAGTAGCAATCCACTTTCAGTGATTGAGTTGCCTTTCAAAGAGCACAACGATGTGCTCAAAATCATTGCGAGTAAGGGCTGAATTAGTGTAAGGAATGGGTAAAACATTTTTGTTCTACCTGATTTAAGACAATGGTCACCATTTAGTGGCATAGGAGAACTAACATGTGTAAGTATAGTACACCTTATTTAATTGAAAAACATCTGAATAGCACTAATTTATTATTTATTCGGCTTAAAGCAAAAAACTGCTAATGATTACCAATTTCATTTGCTATAAGTTGGAACTGGAACAAGTCATTCTTACTTCTTTTGTTAATTTGATTTTGGAGAGATAATTCTGATTGACACTTACAACGAGCGCTAATGAAATAGACTGAGTAATTCCAAAATTGGCCATTTATCTCCTATACCTGTCGCAGTTCTAAGCCTAAGATTTAGAAGTAGTATTGGTGCACATCCAGCATTACGATTGTATAAAAATTCATTAGCTTAATTTAATATAATTTACTAAAGAACTACTCGGCTCAGTATGTTGAATGCCTATAGATTCCATATGGAAACATATTATGGAATGTAAGGTCCATTAAAATAGACCTGTACATCATTAATCAATTAAATAATTTTGGGCTTTAAAATTAACTTAATACAATAACATTCATTATATTGATAAAAATAAAACAGATATCAGCAAAGGTTTTTGAAAAAACAAAAAATGATAGTCCAGAAGAACTTTTTATTAGCCTAGAAAGTGAACCACTTCCAGACAACTGCAATTTTTAACATAACAAGAATTGAATTTTAAATTTTAGTTTAGCTCAGGATTTATATACTTCTCAAGTGTCGATCTGATTAATACATTTTCTAATTTTTTCTTACTGATTTTAATTATTTTTCTTCTTTTTTTTTAAGTATAAAATGGTTATATAAAAATTAATGATATAAAAACAGGAAATACAATTTTATTATAAAAATGTATATATTTTAAAGATGTTATACAAATAGAGAAAACAACTGAAAATACATTCATTTATCTTAAACCATTAAATAATTTTACAACTATAATAAATTTATTTACAATATGTATGTGCCCTTTTGCATTTATCCCTACCGATCCTAGAAACCTTATTGCTCTGCACAAACTTACAAACGCTGTTTACATGTAAATAAAATTCTTTCAGTTAACACACAAACTGATTGTTAAATAAAATTTACTCACTATATATTATTAAAATTGTAAATATTATTTTATCAAAATATATATATATGTATATATTTACAAAATCGTACAAACACATGAGATGAGCATTAGAAAATCATTAATATTCAATAATGTAAATTAATCACAACAATCTCTCTGAGCTAACTAGTGGTTCGAAATTAAATTTTAAAAAAACTAGCATCATAAAAACAAGAAACAAAAGGGATAAACTTAAGGGGCTGTTCCAACTAACCTTAAATTATAATGAGAACACTTGAACATTAATATGAATCGACCAACTTCATGCATTTGTAAAACATATTGGTTGGTTTATTTAAAAAAAAAAAAACAATAGTATTTTTAAACCTTTGATTTCAAACTATCACATACTTAATAAATAAATTTAACTGTACATAGGTAAAACTGAGCATAGAATTAAAGCACTAATGGTTAAATAAACAACAATCATTATTTTCAGGTACTACAATTACACAAAAGGCAACTGCAGATTTTATAATTTAAGCAGCATTTCGGTGAACTTAAATAATATCAATTATTTCAATTCATTGACCTTTATTAGTGTAAAATAATATTAAAAAATATTTTGCAACATTAAGAGGGTATTCCTCTCAAAAAAATAGTGACTAGAGAGGATTATAAACAGGTCTGCCGTGGAACAATTACGACAGGATTATTTTATGACAAGAGAGATATGGCAGTATATTAAGTACTCACTGAAATAAATGGAAAGACAATAATGGTGTTCAAAAGGGTGATAATGCGGTTCAAAAATTAGCAATTACATCTTTAACAAATTTAAAGGTACATAAAATATGTCATAACAAAAATATATCAGGAAACATTTTCATAAAATTATATAAATAAATAAATGTAACACCTCATCCATTTCACACAAAATGCAAATTCATCATCTATCAATAAGTAGGCGGAAAATTATACACACAATTCTATCAAGCGACTGTTAATAACAACTTCTAAAGCAATGTTACTTTTGTGAAAACAGATTCTCAATATAAATAAATAAAAGATACCCCCCAATTAAAAGATTGTAATTAGAAAAGTTTCTTTTTATTACTTCATACAGTAAAACAATGCATGTGCATATAATCGCTCACAATTTATACAGTTATGTTTTAAGAGTTAACTCCACTCGATTTTATTTTCCGAGGTGCCAATCAATTACCTGCTCAGGGTGTCATCTCAACTCCTAGGTGTAGGATTTAATCACAAACTAAGATTTCCAAGGAGGCAGAAAAAGAAAGAATGCTGCCGAGGTAGGTCGGTTCGGCTATACAAATAAAGGCCTTAGTCTATATAATGCAACTTCTTAGTAACAAGATACAAAACAAATTAAAAAAAAAGGTACTAAGAGCTCATGTCGGCTTGCCAAGATGAATGGCCATTAGAACAGCTACTTGAACTCTCTTCAGCACCTCCAGTATTTCCGCTCAGCCCTTCTCCTCCACTTCCACTTCCTATTAGAAATGATCAATATATGAAATAAAAGCCAGGAAATGAACAACCATATTATTACTTTTTAATCATAAATAGCATTTTTTATTCCTAATTAACAATTAAACCTCCGAATACCAGATAGAGTTGGCAAAAGACTCAACAAGACATACGTTGAAGATTATTGTTCAACTAATATTAACCAGTTAATATAAAATGAAAATAGATAAATACAAAAAATATATTATAATGCACTACAACTTTTTTTTTTAAAAAGTTGTTCTCCTAGGGAAGGAAAGTATAGTAATCAGTTCAACTTTTCAACAGATCTTTACATTTCAGAAACCTTTTGAGTCCAAAAAGCTCAGCCATTGGACTGTGCCAAAATCATCTCTTGAACAGCTAGATTTCTTTTCTTTTTTTTGTAGTATTATGGCCCTAGATACCATAACCCAATCGGACACCCTGTGCACAATTAGCAAATAATGTGTTTTTCCTATAGACCCTAGCACCAAAATGATTCTAACTTGCCTAGTCTCCACCTTAAAGTCTTTCTAATTTTCATATATGTAATACATTCCCAAGAAAAGGCAAAAAGGAAAGTTATAACAAAAAGAAAATTTAGTTATAACATAACTAAAAAAAATTTACATTTTATATCTAATCATTTGAAAGATAATTAAATTTCATAAGTAACAAAACAAAAAGATCATCAAAATAGAACAAGTATTAGTAACAACAAACTGTATTAAATTTTTTGCATATATTTTACTTCTTTCCTAGCGCTCTTAGGTCAAATTCTCGAAGTTTTGTTTTCATACATCATTTTAAAACAATAAAGCTGCTTATTTGAAATATGATTAAATTGTCTTTAAAATCTAATTTTAAAGTAAAGAGGTTTAATAAAACAACAATAAAATCATACTTTTTTATAATTAGATTTGTAGACGTTTGTATAAGATTGCTCCAAGATGACATAATAAATAAACATGGTTATGTAGAATTTCGCTCTTTTTTTTAAATTTAATAATATCCACCCACACCCTGTCATTCATGTAATTCCCAATGCTAGGCAAAAAAAAATATATTAAAATAAATTCATAGTGATCTAGAATGAATTATTCTGATCAATACATCTACTGGGAGGAAAACTTATGGATGGAATCCTGACTGAAAATAAATCCAAGAATTCATAGATATATAATAGCACATCACACACCTCACCTCTATCAATAGTCATTCTGGAACAAAACCAAGATAATTTAGATATGGTAACAACCATAACTATTAATGCAACTAATAATATTGTCGTTTTTCAACAAAATTAAAATTAATTTCTAAAAGAAATAAGATATAAACTTACGCTTGAGCATATCTGCAGGTGCCCATATCCTTACAGTGCAATCATCCGAGGCAGAAACCATCATCTTATGATACACTGGATTCCATGACACACAATTCACAGTTCTTGTGTGACCACTTAATGTTGCTATTGGTCTCTCCCTTTTAATATGCCAAACGTATACTTTATGATCTGTATAAAATCATAATAAAAATTAATAACACTGATAATCTATATTTTATGTATTTATTAATCTCTTTCTATTATTTCAAATTATTTTGTTTTTCATGCCATTGATTTATTATAGTTCACAATAAAATTTTATGACAAACTTTCATTAAATTATATTCCTTGTTTAACCTCAAAACTTCTGCTAGTATCTTTTACTTTTTAATTACTAGAATTTATTTTTCCCATAGCTATTTCCCTTTAATATAATGAAAATCACCTTCACTGCCTGAGGCAATGAAATCTTGATTAAGGCCTCCAAAGCAGCTGTGAATTGTAAAATGACCCTGAGTAACTCCTTGGAATTTTCTTAGAAGGACACGGTCCTCCAAGTCCCACAAGTGGACACCTTGAGTAGCGACATTCAGCAGTGCAAGACGATCTGAGTCATTCACACAAAAGGTAACCACAGGCTGGTCCTCAAGGAGGCTGAAACATAAATTTTATTATTAAAAAAAATTGTGTTAATCAGAATACAAGGAAATTAAAAAAAAAAAAAAGATGAAACATGAAAATAATATAAAGCTCCTATAGTTCAACAGTACACTTAAGTAAAGAATTTGTTTTCTTAGCCTCTTATTCAGAACCTGGGTAGATGTATAAAGGAGTCTAGGATTCAGTAGCTAGCAAAGAATTTGACCAACCATAACAGGAGCAATTGTTGTAAAAGGATCCGACTTAAACAAGATATTTTTCTTAGCCTTATGTGTCCCAGGAGGCTGCTCACTGAGTCAATCTATGGCTGATTGTTTGTTTTATTATTATTATTTTTTTTTTTTTTGTGAAGCTAGTCATAGTATTTTACCTAATTTACTATAATTAAACAGTTGTTTCGTCAATAATATAAATTTATTACATCGATAAACAAAATTAAAATTGGAGCTTTTTGCTGTATTTCTTAAATTAAAAAAAAAAAATCACTTACATATTAGCATCTGAGAGATCTTCAAAATTATAAGTTCTAATTCTATGGTGAGTATCAGCAGCAAGTACGCTCTTTCCATCAGATCTACACCACAAACTATTGACCCGTACACCTTCCCAAGAGTCTAATACATTTCCAGACAAATCCTGAACAAGATTTAAATAGAAACAGACAATTAATTGTTACATAAAAAAAAATCATCACATATAGTTTCAATAAAAAACAACTTAAATAAAGAGATAAAGAAGTATAAAATATGTAGTTAAAATAGCAAAATAGTAATTATTAGTTTTTTTTTTTTTTTTTCCTTTAAAGATAAACATTTTGATGCTTATATATATATTTTTTTTTTTTTCTTTTTTCATCAGCATGTATGATTGTAGGTGTAAATGTAATAAAATTATAATATTCAACTTATTATAATATTAAAAAATACAATCATAGACTGAGACTAAACCTAGATTTAAATTATAACTCACAGGAAGATAATACGCTGTATTAGAACAAGAGTTATATTGAATACAACAATAAAAAAATCAAAATTTATATCAATGCTTAAAGAAATAAAAATATACAGAGTGAAATATTAAGTTTAAGTAAAAACATATGGAGCTTCCAAGTGTGGGATATCAAAAATAATATAAAAAGGGTAAAGCTTCTACAAAAGGCTCTAAATGTTAAAGTGCTGAGAAAAAAACCTTCATTGTAAGAAAAAGAGAAAGACTAAAGGAAATCACTATAAGAAATTTTATATGTTACAGAAAAACGATAATGTCTCTGAAGAGTGACAATGTCTGAATAAAAGAAGTTTCCTAAAAATTTAAAATAAGGAACTTACACATTGATAAAACTGTCCACGAATGCCACCAGTCACAAAGCGTGTACCGTCCCGATGCCATGAACAGGATGTGAGAGAATCATCAGGAGAATGGGACAACTTGACTCTCAACTCCTCAGTTTCCATATTCCATAACCAAAGTTCTGGACAATCTTCAGGTCCACAAGCTATTAAGTGAGACCCATCTGGAGACCAAGCCAGAAAAGCAACTCCATAGGAATGTCCCTCAAGGGTTTTACGATGGGTGCATGTTAGTGTATCCTAAAAAGGAAAATATAACAATATTTTATTAATAAACATACAAAGATAAAACTTATAATAAAGAGTATAAAATAATCTAAGAATAAATATATTATGCGAGGAGTAAATTGTGCAAAACCAAAACATTCAAACAATGAATTAAAACTTCAGATATTAACAATATTGAAAATCTTGTTCTTACAATGTTTGAAAATTATTATCAAATTTAATGAATAATAATTTCTTCTCTGAACTGCACATGAGTTTCTTTCCAAAGTTTAAAGTTAACAATAGAATTATTGACAACTTTGTAAAAGAACTATAAATTCAAATGATTAAATGTTCAGTGATTCTGATGTAATCACTAGAAACTATCAATAAAAATTGTGGTATAAGGAACTAACCTGATCAAAGAAACATTAAAATTTTGCAGTTGCTCATTTCAGTTTGGCAGCCTCAAGGCTACATAAATATTTATTGTTTAATCACTCAAAATGTCAGATTACTATTTTAGAAGAAATAATTTATCAAATGATCAAACTACTAGTACTAATTAGAAGTAAAATTTGATCAAAATTAAATGAAACGATAATTTTAATCAACTATGTTAATGGATGCATATAATGTTAGAATTGATTTAATAAATATTGAACATTTACCGGATCGACGTCCCAAATAATTACGGTAGTATCCTTCGAACCTGTTGCAAGCTTGAGACCATCAGGAGAGAATCGGCAATACCACACCTCATCACAATGGTCATTCAAGACTTGAATAGTTTCGCATGGGAACTCTTTCCTAGAAAGTAATACATACTAAACATAGTACAAAAATTTTAAATATTCAGAAAAAAATGAAAATGGAAAATAAACTTCACTTGACTTACCCATTAAATTACTACATACCATACCTCTTGTAACTTGTGATATTGAAAATATTGTCACAGTAACTATTTTATCATTTATAAAAAAAAAATTAGAAATTTATATAATTATTCATTATTTAATCATCTATAATGGACTCAACCCTCAAAATACTCACTAATTGAGTGAAATTATTATGCAATTACCTTGAGCACCGATGATCAACAAGGAGGGATATGTTTTCAATGCCATCCTCAATTTTCGTGTTATGATAAGGGCATTTCTCTTTCTGAAGCTCAACAGCCTGGCTCAAAAGTGCATGGAGCCTAAATTGAAATAATGAATTTAATTTGCGAAAACAATACAAGAATCATGTAAAATTATCTTATCACCATAAATCCTACGTAACTGAAACGTTGTTTTAATCTTTTAAAGAAAATATGAAACAGAATGAGTAAACTAAAGCGAGCATGCCACTATTTTCAGCAAGGCTGTAAGTCTTTGCCCTCTTTTCTTTGCTGATTTCTTAGTTACAAGTTATTTCAAATAACAGAACAAATAGAATAATTCAAAATTAAACAATACCTACTATTTAAAATTTATTTAACCATCAAAACTAAAGTAGAAATTCATATTACAAGAGTCAATATTCAATTAATGTTAAATTTATAGCAAATATAGATGAACTTTATAACTTAATAATTAATCTAAAATTAATTGAAGAATAATTATCAACTTGGAGAACAATTGCAGAAAGTGGGGTAAATAGGTACAATAACATCAGACTAATCTGTGCATGCACATAACATGCATTACACTATTTCCCTTCTTAAATACTTTTTCCAACTACCAGTTTAATTATATTAATATTAATCAATTATTTTTTCTTAGCTGTTCTTTCCATACCCAAGATTCAAGTTACCATATCTCCCTCCCCCACCATTTATAATTCAGATTACATTAGTCTGTGCATTGAGGTAATGGTTCTTTCTTCCTTTTTTCGATTCTTGCTAGGGTGATAAAACTATATATTATTTGTTGTATAAGAATTCCTTATCTTTAGATTTATATATTCCTTACCTGTTATCTTTTTATTTTAACCATATTACTGTAATAAGTTCAAACGAGAATCAACAGATGGAAGTAAATTCAAATAAAAATACAAATGAATTTTTCATCTCAGAGACACTTATGTATGTTGATGGCCTCACATGATAACCTCTTAACTGACTTTTTACCATAATGCAAATGAAAACCTTTTATAAGACAGTTCTGTGGCTTAAAAGTTGGTGAAAAGCAGTTTTTAAACTTAGATACATCAAATATATGTAGTATATCGTCATATAAGTTTTAACGCCTTATTCGGTTTTTAATGAAAATGCTGATTTTAAAAACTGTTATGATGAAGTTCGTGAACCTGGATTGAATAAAAAAATGCCTGAATTCAACTTAATTGTAGATACGCATAATCAGAATATTGTTGATTTGGTTGTGTTCACTTAATATTCCCAAAACTTCATAAATTGTCAGTTTTAACTCTTAAATTTATTGAATATTCTCAAAAAAAAAAAACATCTAATAAGAGATTTCGACATTCATTATCATATGCATAAGATCAATAAAAGCTTATAAGTTTTTCTGTAAATGCAAGTATGATCAGACAAAAATTCAAAACTTATCTTTTCTACTTTATTTTTATATTTAAAAGAAAGATCATTAAACAAATATTTGGACAGGGAAAGGTCAGAGATCATTGGAAGTGGAGGACAAATAGGGAAATTTACTAACTTATGGCAAAGGCTAACGTAATGAGGTATATAAAGTTGAGAAAACTACGGTGGGCTGGCCAAGTTGCATGCAAGGTGGAGGAGGAAATACCTAGGAAACGGCTGGCTGGAAGGATCCAGAGCCAGGGATGCCCGTAACCTACTAAACATTTGTTTAGTGTATCTGTTTCTACTTTTACCCTGTACCTAAAGATCAAGTACCAGCGGATCCAACAAAAATGATCACAAGAATTGTGATAACACGGCCAACTGATTTGACTACTTAAATCAGATGCAGCTATTTTTTCGTCATGACTCCGAAATTTTGAGTCAGTATTTTCAAAACTCTGTTATAGAGAAAGTAACAAACAGATACACCAAGAGTCAAATACAATCCAAATCTAAAGAAAAGCCTCTCTCTTGTTTGTAGGATTGGTATTTAGGTAAGAAATTAGTTATTTTGTACTTAGGAAAAAATAATTCGGGCAACAGAACATCGTCACTAAGGTTATGTTCTTTTCATATATGTAGATAAAACAAACTTTGTTACCGCTCATCTGAAATTGAATAGAATTTCAAAATGTATTGGACTACTGAATTTTTCAGTATTTTTTTTTCTCTCAATATAATGAAAGTAGGAAAAAAAAAGAAAAAATTCGTAGGTGTTACACAATTGTTTGTAACCTGAAAAATCACATAACACATTGTGGGGATAGGAGAAAAAAAAATTGAAACCCTCAAAAGGTACTTCAGTAACACCAAGTCAATAGAAAAAAAATTCAATCATTAATCTCAATTTAAGAGAGGCTATATTGGTGAGAACTAAGCCTGCAAGCTAAAATGCAACTGCAACTTAATTTAAAAACAAAATTTCAACAGTCTAAATTTTTTTGAGCACCAGTGGAGGTGAGCAAATCTTTAAAACCAAGAAAAAAAAATTCAGAACATGTTGAAATGTTGACAGAATTCGCCAACAGTTTTGCTTTAGTATCCTACCATAAAATCAACCCAAAATACCAAATTTCAGAGATGAAATGTAATACAATCTGATTCAAAATATTACACACTTAGTCATCATAACTTAGTAATTTAGAAAATATTCATCTCATCTAAATTATTTTGTCAGAAATATGTTTTCAAGACGTTTCAGGTTGAAATTGCTATCAATTACTAGAAGAATGTTGTTACTGACAAAAAAAGGTAGTTTTTTGTAACTCAAGTAAAGTTGAAAGGCGGTGTCATAACTTTCATGAATTTCATTAAATTTAGGAAATTGTGAGAAATGAGAAAGTGTAGAGCTCCAAAAAGCAATAAAATTTCGAAAATGGGTAAAATAGTGAAAATGGAAAGGAAATAAATGAAATTATGAAAATAACTTTATTATTCTGGGACTAGCATCCCTTTAGAATAAATTATAAATGTAGAATAAAAATAAACAATAGAAAATGGTAAAAATGACGGATATTGCAAAACTGGAAATAAAAGAAAATGGTGAAATTTCAAAAATAAAAAATTGCGAAATGACGAAAATCGTGAACTTAGTGATGTAACTCGATTCATAATCTGGGAGTACTCAGGCTAACTTAATAATTTGAAAGAGATGGATATTAAGAAAATGACAAAAATAACGGATATTGTGAAAATAGTTTAAAATGGTAAAAATGACGGATATTGCAAAAATGGCGAACTTTGAAATAATTACATCGTAATAGGGCGAAAAATGATGACTGGAAAAAATGACCAAAATAGTGAAAACAGTAACATTAGTTATGTAACTCAATTCGTAATCTAGTAGAACTAACTCAGTAATTTGAGAGTGGTCTCAATTCTGAAAATAACAAAAATGAGGAATACTGTGAAAATAGTTTTAAAAAAATCACTACTCGTGAAAATTAAGGATTACAGAAATGGCAAAAACGGGAAAATAGCGAAAACAGAAAATGATGGATATCCCAAAAATGAGAATAAAAGAAAATGGCGAATATAGAATAAAAACGAAACCCATAAAAATGGCAATCTAACTCATACTTATTCAAAATCTTAAACACCAACTCAGTAATATTGGAAAATATTTAGTTTATCAAAAATGTTTGTATAAAATATGTTTTCAAGACCATGTTGCTAAAGAAATTAGGCAGTTTTTTTCCTACACCCTGTAAAGTAGGAAAAATTGCGTTAGGCAGTGTTAAAACTTGTATGATGATATGCTAAAAATTATTATACCTCCAAAGACATCTGGTATGGTTGAACGTAATTTTGAAAATTCTATTAGAAATATTATTTTATTTCAGATTTTCATTGTATTGTGTAAAAATAGCTAATGGATAAAAAAGTTTAATGTGGTCAGAAGGTTGGGGGTGCGATTAATGAAGAAGCCACTAGTAGTAAGTGAAACTTATTTTTAATTGTGTGCCATGTTTCAGCCTGAGATGAAGGCTATCTGCAGTTCACTGGGAACAGTCAGAGGAAGACTCTTTTTCTTCATTGATTGCACCCAATAACCAATTCCTTGAATTATATCTACAGTCAACTACATCTACCCCACTAATTAATATATATAATACATCCATGCAATATTATAAATGCATAATGTATAATATGTTAATTTCTTATAATTATAATTATATTTTTGCCGTTGTTAAGGTTTTTTTTATAGCTGAGGTAATAATTTTGATTAACTGTTTAACATGACTTTTTTTTCTAGGGTTTTAAATAATAACTCATGTTTTTAATTTTAATTTTTGAAATTACAATTTTACATGCATACGTATCAACATAAGTTGATTTTAAAGCAAATTAGAATAGTTTTGTTTAATATAGAGAACGTTATTCAAATACACAAAGTTTTTTCCAGCTAAAATTCTTGACATTAGTTCTATAGATTTTCAGTACTTGGGAGTTCAATATATAACAGTTCAACTGCAAAAATTGTTTTAGTTAAATTGAAGCATGGTCAAAATATACAAAATTATTACTGGATATGGGTGGATTTTATCGAAAATAATAATTTGCATGTTCTGCATGTTAAATTAATCTTTTTGTCGAGTTGCTATGATTATAAGAAAATATCATAGGTACTTCTCAGTAAGAGAAATATTTTAAGCAGTAGCACATAGCAAGTAATAAAAATTGTCACAAGTTATATTCCCTAGTGTTGTTGAATAACTACAAAACGTAACTATTCTAGATTAGGTTCTTGAAATTAATAGTTAAGTGCCTAAGAAATCCTCAGATTTTCATTTGTTCAAGTTTTTGAACAAAAAACTACATTTTTCAATATTTTAATTGGTTGTACTGTTGTGTCTTTGTGACATTTTTCTATATAGGATTGATATTGTAGGACATACATTATATGTGGTAAGTGTCTAACTCTAATAAGTGTTATGACAGTTCATTTTGAAACAAGTGGAGGACTTGACTACACAAATTTTTACAGTAAAAAAAAAACCATGATCATCTTGATATAATATCCTTTGTCCTTTCAAGGAGGGTAAAAAACAAAACCAGTTCTGAAAATCCAAAATTTCACAAGTGTTACCTGTCACCAGTTTTTATTTAGTATATCAGCATTGAGATATTGTGACCCATCTTTTGTTTAAATACACTAATGGTCATAAAAACCAGCACACCTTAAATTTTGTCGTTATTTCTTTCCCAACAGAAAAAAGTATTCAATTTTTTTACTTAAATATAGAGACATATTTTGCTTGTAGGACACCACAAATAAAGGGGGGGACAACAAAATTTAATTAAAAAAATCGTAATGTGAAATAAAAAGCAAATGAACACTCTTTTTATTACATAAAATACATCTAATTCTTTTTAAGTTATGAAATCTGAGTCTCTAGAACTTATTGTAGCCTACCTTTTCTTAAATAATAATAGTAACAAATGTGTACACATATTTAGACATACTACGAAAAAGGTGGTTACCCGATCTTGAATATGATCCACTTCACATACTTGGGGGATTCTTCTGTCGACCGATGGACATCCTAAGGTGGTCCGGAAAGTGCTTAATTGACAGGTTTGAAGTCCGGGCTGCGATCTAGTCACTCCAAAGAGTGGACACTAACCTCATTTAGGTAGTCCCATACAACATTTGCGATGTGTGACCAAGCATTATCCTGCATTAAAAGGAAACGGAAGGAGATAAATGGGCCAAAATGCACCATATATTCCTCTAGATTGTCAGTGACGTAAGTGTATGCATTGAGTGTAGCCTTAGAACACATGGAGGTCTGTGTTTCACTCTAAATTCCATCCCAAACCACCAACAACCCTTCTTCAAACTGCTCTCTTCCCACTATGTCGCACTAAGCTAATTGCTTACTTGGTCTTCTCCATACAAGAACTCGTCGGTCTGCACCATAAAAGCTATATCTGGAATTGTCAGAGGCTAAATCATATCCTGTTCAGGCAGCGTGTTCAGTTCATGAAGGTGACTGCCCGCCAAACCGTTGTTTTAGCCAGCCTGTGGACTTTGGCTATGTATCACTGCCTTTTACCATTTTCAATTAATGTAGTAATCTGAGTGACTTCCACGGGATCCAAAACCATTTTACACTCTCTAAAATGTTTGATATAAATGAAATAGTGTTTTTCAAGAAAAAAAACAAAACACAAAAGCAAAATCAATATGATTGAACAGGCAACTGGAAACAAAGTGATGTGAAGATCCAAGTTTTATTTTAATAATTCTATCATTAATCCAAGAGGGAATCATGAGATTTTCTCAACAGGATTCATGCACGGTAATTCCCTTTGACCTGTCATTACTTCATGCTAAAAAATATTTCTTTACTCTGTGGTTTATATGTAAAATTCAAGGTGCGCCAGTTTCTTTGACCACCAGTTTATATATGTAACAAAAATAAGATTTATTGTGTGGAAAACATGTGATTGTTAGAGAAGGTTATGTACATGGGATTCATAAACGCAAGTCATGGGGTTTCAACATGAAATTGTTCTTTTTTTATTTATTTATTGAAATTTACAACTGTATAATTTAACAAATATTCGGTTGTCTGGAAAATAAGGCAGGATTTTGGTTTAAAAGGACCTAGATTAACAAGATAATATGATAATTCTGCTAGGCATAATTCTTCAATAGGATTTTGACAACAAAAAAGAACCAATGGAAGTTATAGCTTCATATTTTTTGTAATCCACATTAATGGGAGTTGATATCATGCAAAATGCCATTTTCGATAAAACCCAGCCATAAAGGATAATGAATTTATAAAAATAATGAAATAATACCTAAACCTAGTTTCATTTGTTTAAATATACAAATTCTTCACAAAACATGGCTCAAACTTAAAAAAAGTTATAGAAAATAAAATTTTGTTTCATGGAGGAGATGAAATAGAAAAATTTTATATTTATTAAGTATTTTGGTACCTATACACTTTAAACGGTAGAATATATTAATTACCAATTAATTCTATATAAAAATACTATTAACACGAGTACTTAAATCAGTAATAAAATAATGGCAGGTTAAAAGTTCCAATGAAGACACAAAATAATAACCAGAAAAGAAATGTAAGGTTAAAACAAAAAATGTAACATGATAGGGGTGGAGTTTAACAACGTTTTAAAATAACAGCTTCAAAGAGAAGGATCAAAGAATTAACAATACCATTATTTTATTAGTGACATAAGTACTAGCGATAAAACAAATTAACTCACCTTCTAGGAGGAAGCATAATGGACGGAGGTAGGAACTGTTGGAGTTGATCCATTAGGTGTGCCCTAGAGACCTCCCCTTTACCTTCCCAATGGGCGACTGTTCTGAGTTCTTCAGGGGCTCCACACATCATAAAACTGCAAAGAGCATTATAAATGTCGAAAGTTTATTCATCAAATAACAAAATTTTATTCTTTGTTTGAAATATAATCTAAAGCACATTAGTAGTTAACTTCCTTCTCTCATTCATTTTTATTCTTCCCTTCCCAGGCCAGGGGTTAAGGCAGAGTATTAAGGGCAGAATTAAAAGCCCCATGGTACTGGGACGCAAACTCGTAATTACTTAATCTTGTTATATCTTCAGTTTATCAGGTTACCGGAGAACACGTGTTTTTCACACAAATTAGCACATTGGTCAACAGGCCCCTAATATTAGAGTAGTTAACTAAAAACAAAAGTGAGATTATATTTTAAATAACTATCTCATATTGTATCTGTAATCTTGTGGAAATTTCAAGTTAAATTTACATGTATTGATATCTCACCACCACTTTTGTTCCCAACAACACATCATTATTTAAAAGTGAATGCTTAAAATGAAGTGGTGAACTTAACTTACTTTTGTTTTTGGTAAAGTTCCAAAATATTTAATTACAATTTAAATGGTCAGTCTTATTTAAAATATAATTAGGTAATTTCTAATAATTTTAATATTTAATTATAATAAGTCTAAATATATTCCAAGTTGTTTAGGGTTTGGGAAAGATTGGTATGTTTTAATGCATTATTTTAACCTTCATTATTCCAATATTATAATATTATCCAGAAACTTGTTTTGGAAGTATCACTGGATTAATATATTCAGTGTCCGATTGAATTTAAATAGCTGAATTAAATAATATTCCCATATTCTAGAGCAAGCCAAGACTCAACTTGTGGGTCTTAGAGCCATATAATAAACAAATGCCCATATTATCAGTTTTTAGCAAAAATATTAATCAATTCAAAAAGATATTATCAAACTAAAACAAACCTTATTTATTTCAAAAATAGTAACATTATGTGTACAATGTTAATTTTACAGAAGAAAAATTAACCAAATTACTTAGTTATTTAATATTATAAAATATTTCTTGATGCTTTTTTGCAATAAACCAACATATGTACTCTAACTAAACTAACTTATATATAATTATCATATGTTAACCTATTACCGCATTATTGATTACTTCAAACACACCTGCGACATCAGGAAGTTTTTTGCTGATATGAAGGTTATTAGAGGAGAGCAAATAGGAAATGTTCATAGGCTACTAGTTGCCATCAACCAGGTGTTTACGGAATGCAAGACAAACCCAAAAGAATAAGACAGAATTGATGTAATTGAAGGTGCTTTTAACTATGATATTTAACTGTCACCCTCACCTCTGGCTAATGGAAAAATTCCAGTGCAGTCTAAAATGTGTGGGTTACAAACCTTGGCAGAAACATGAAACTCCACTTCTTCAAGTAAATATTCAAATAAGCCTGCACTCATATATGCGGCTGAATGCTGGATGTCATATCTGAAATACTAGACAAATAGGAGAGAAGAGTAACAACGGTAAAAAATGAGCTTTCTTTTAAGGACCCAAGCAGAAAAAGAAAGGATTGTATCCACATTGAGAGAATCAGGAAGGGAATAGGAGTCCTCTCAACAAAGTCCTAAAGGCTCACCAGCTGAAGTTGTTCAGCTATATCATCAGGAAGGATAAAACAAGAGTTCCATAGAAAACTGTGGAATTTCCACCTGACTCAAGTCAGACTATGAGACCGACTATTGATGTCATACCTGAAATACGTTGCTAGGAACCTGGCAAGAAACAGAGAAATGGCAATACTGGTTCGACTCTTCCCTACACTGATAAGACACCACCGGGTGATGAAGAAGAAGGTTAACTATTACAACTAAAATGTAAGGGTCAAAATCTAAGTTGACCCCACCAGGCTAGTTTATATTGGCACTACTACTGTATCAGTAATTGATAGTTTTCAACTGTTAAAGTGGTTGACAGTTGGCAGTAATCCACAAAATTACAAATTTGGAATAAAGGCATTGTTTTAATAAATAAGGTATTGTTATTAAATCTCTCTTTAATAGGTATAAAGAGAAGACTACCATAAAGGAGGTAGAAAAGAGGGCTGAATATGAAGACTTAAAGTTACATCAAAACACAAGTAAAACAAGGATGAGTGCTCTCTCCTAGAACAAGAATTCTCCAAAGAAAAATTGTAGCTTTTGAACACCAATGCTAAGTCCGACTTAGTCTACAGCAGTAGCCTCTTCCATTGCTATTTAAGAAAAATATTTGATCCAGAGGATCTGTTGGCCTGAGATCTTTATCTAGTAATTCTTGAGAAAGAAATTTATAGATAAAAGAAAGAAATAGGAGTGATAGGACATCCTAATAAAACCTGATGGTGTCATAAAAAAAAAAGATGCTCACCATTGGTACCTCCAAAATAAAACAGAGTCCATTAAATGAGCATTTAGGTTCTTTAAGTGAATTCCTGATGGCTAACTCGAGGTTTGGTAAAAGTTTTCGATAACTATAAAAATGCTTATAACTGTTCTTCAGGAAGATATTAAGAAAGAAATTAAGCCGCCCACTGCTATTTACATAATCTTCCAGATTTGTCTATAGTTTTTGTCATGTATTGGTTAAATATTAAAGGATCACTGTATTGCATAACATTATTATATGCAGATGCACTTAGGAATTTATACCCTTTTTACCAATTAGAGATATAAATTTCTACCATTTCTTGATGATGTACAATAAAAGTTTAGAACTATGAAAGACTATTGTTTAATAAATTAACTTGAAGTAAATGTGGAACAACCTTAACCATTCTACAAAGGCAGAAAAAATGGAAAAATTATGAATGTAATGTAGACATGGAATTATTATTCAAAACAGAATTACTGTATTTTAGACTGCCTTTCTCTTCTTCAGGAAAATTAGAGAAATCTGAAAAAACAGAATACTGTTTGACCCACTGTCTAATGCTATTTTGCTGTATGGTTCATAATTATGGAGATCAATTCATAGGAACTTAATAGAGTTCAATTTAAATTCCTCAATTCTCTTACACTACCCTATCTGGATTGGACCTTATTGCATCTATTTTTGAACTGCTATTTTGAAATAATGAAAATACATAAAGACAGACTGCAACACTATGTTTCAATTGATTGATGGAATTATGAATATCATTAAGAAAGCATGTATAACACACTACCAGTGAAGTAGTTCACTGAATTCGCTAATAGAATATCTAATGATAAGTGAATTTATATGGAATGCACATTATTTGATTTTTTCTACTAACTGTGGTGAGCTGTTTATACCAGAGGGACTCATAAGGTATGGAGTGAAAGCAAGTCTAATATCAATAAGTATAAATAAGTCTCAAACTTGCAATCATATTACCATGTGATCTACAAAACTTATTTATTCTTCAGGTGGAATGCTTTGTCTCAAACCAATCCTTTAATTTTCTACTAAAAAATGAGTAAAGGAATTAAGTAAAGCAAAGCAATGCTATAGGAACAAAATAAATTTTTATCTTGTCTGCTTTCCTCAAAACCATTTGCATTTTAACTTTCCCATAGAATTCTGGGAAGTGTTTTTTCTTCTATATTTTATTGTATATATTTAAAATGCATTTCTTCCACTTCTCTGGTAAAACATTCTATAGTTTATTTGGGTTTAGTTTTAAACATTTTTGAAGTACATTTTGAGAGATAATTTTAATAGTATGAGTTCTAAGAGTTATTTCAAGATCATCTAAATCAAATCATAAATCTAATTCCAGGGAAACAAGCTGGTGTATAAAAATATAAAAAAATTCTCATTCTTCAATGATAATTTCATGATTTCAAGTGATAACAGAGATGTATCTCCTAAACAACTGTCAAATATGTTTGGATTCAAAAAACATTTTTTAATCATTCTTCAGCAATAAAATAATTATTCATTATATATAAATAATATATTCATTTTGGGACTTTTTTAAGGATTCTATAATGCATATTCTTAGCATTTAAGTTTAAAATAAAACTTCTTTTCTTTGGCTCATTTTAAAAAAGAGGTTTGTAGATATTTAAGAAGTTTAAACTCTTGTAAAAACTATTTGCTTTCTTTATTTATTTTTTTGTGATTGAATTCAAATTAATACTTTTTTTCATAATATCAGATATAAATTTAAGTTTCACTGGATTGTTGAATAGAGGACGGTCAAGATTCACTGATTTCATACATTCTGCAAACTGAGTTTTATACTCCTTCTTTTTTATGAAGCTATAACTTGATAAAGGCATAAGATAGTTTTAAAAAAATAGAAACAAAAAATTACAAACATTTTTAAGTGAGTACTGCTTATCACTAGTCCGAAGAATGACTACTACAAGAATATTCTATAAATATACATCTTTCAATCTACTAATAAACTCTTCAAAATGAAAAAAAAAAAAAGTATGCGCATAATAATTTTTCAGATATACACAACTTACTCTGGAATTGAAAGGATTAGTCTATTTGACGGTTGTCAAATAAACCAGTAAAATAACAATTAATATGGGATATTATTTTGTTCTACATTAACTGATTCCAGTGACACTTTCTTCTTGAACTTACAAGTTGTATTCTCAGAATTTTAAAACAATAAGTAAAAAAACATAAATTGAGACACTTGGTCATAAAAAATTGTATCTGGGATTTTTTGTGAACTGAAGTTTGGTAACCCTAAATTTGTAATGGCTGATTTCACAGGTTGTTGATAGAATCAACACTTAATACTTCTTTTATTAATATGATGATTTTACAGTATTACCCAAATAAAGATCCTGATGTAGTAGTAAAAGATGAAAAAACATCCATTCCATAAATGCAATATCTTCATCTAAATCAAGTCATCATAACAAATAAAAAATCACAAGAGGTTTAACATAACCTGTATCTATTAATTAAACAAAACATTCCATAAAATAAATGAATATGAATTATGGGATAGTCCAGTGAAGAAGTCAATAATAGAAGAATAATACTAGTCAAAAAGAATTTAAAGATGAGAGAAAAAACTAATTGAAAATAAAATACTGACCTAAAATAGATTGTTACAATTTTTTTTGGATAACAACTTTATTTGTTCTTAGAAATCCCTGACATACAACTAAACAAAGAAGTAATAACATCTTTCATAATTATTTACAATGGATTTAATAAACAAATCATAGTTGTGACATAATACCTGCTAATTTCATGAACTCTAGATGTATTATGTTGAAGAGGTGTTAATTCTTCCCGCAAAACATGAAGAGCATCTAAAACTCTACCGTCTTCTAAAAACTCCAAATACTTCTGTTCCAGTATAAGGAATTTCATTTCCTATACAGAAGGATCAAATAGGAAATATCAGAAAACATAATTTATAGTAAATTACATATTTGAAAAAAAATATTTGAGACATTACAACAAAATGAACTATTAAAAAATAAAAATAAATTAACTGCAATACACTTTTCTTACAGATAAACTATTAGATGATTTCTCAAGGAGAGGTTTCAGTTCATTTAAATCATTATCAGCCTGTAAACAAAAGAAGAAGTGAATAAAGTGACATTACTACTGTAATCCCAAACATAAACATATAGACATTTGTATGAATTCTAGCATATTAATTTTCAGAATTTATTGAAATTTATGTTCACCTTGCTCCATTCCCCATCCATAATATGTTGCCTGAATTTAGCAGCAGCAGGATGATCTAATCGACAACCTGATTCTTTCATAAGCATATCAGCAGTTTGCCTATTTAGGAAAAGAAATAAAGATTATTGCAAAAAGTGAGGCAACCCATCCAAGATAAAATAATATTCGCAATGATAAACAAATTGTTTATAAAAATAAAACTTGACAACTACTTACTGAAGGCCAATACTTTTTAGATGTTGTCCAATTAACCTGACAATATCCTGGTCAGTTTTGCTGAATATTCTCTCCAGTTCGCCATTCGCTTCAGTTTTGATCTGTGTCTCACCTTTTGTAATAGGTTCATCTTTCTCTTTATGCTGTAGCTGTGGAGAACAGCCATTAGCTTGCATCGTAGCTTCTATTGAAGTACGAGACTTTTTTCGCGGTGGCGGGTCCAAGCCGCCGTCCTCCGAATCTCCCTTCGAGTCCAGGCTGCTATCGGACCTCCGTCTTGGATTTGATTTGCTTCGTCCCCACCTGTGCAAAAATTCAACAAAATTTTGATACTATGACCATACCTTGAGTAACACAGATGGCAGACAGCTGAGCAATGTTTAGATCCGTGACGTCACAAGGATATGGATTCCTTTGTTTTGTTAGTCACTTGCTAGGATGCGCAAAACCTATTATATGTTCAATTATAATATATATTTATAATTCAGGGTAATTTTAGAAACATAAAGTGAGTTTTATTATCCAGATTCCATGTTAAAATCAAGTAATGTCAAGCTGATTTATGCTATTGCGGTAGCATTGAATAATCTTCAAGCCTTTCTTCCGAGTTTTAATTGGTAATTGTCATGTTACAACTTCATGTATTCGATTTCTAGAGAACCTAAACACACTATATTTTAAAAAAAAATTAAACTATGCTATTATTTATTTTAATTGTAAATCAATGATGAATTAATTATGACAAAGTTGGTAATGATTGCAAGTCTCTAATCTATTTTATGAATCTAATATGTGATTTTTAAAACCATTTAAAATAATTCGAATACAATTATTATTATTACCGATGGGTTACAAAAAAAGAAAAAAAAAATGATTTGATTATTTACGAAAGTGTATAAGTACTTACTCTACTTTATGTTTACTGCCCAAATTTAAAACATTAAAAACAAAACAATATTGAGATAAACAATGCATGACGATAAATAGATCACTTTATAATTACTAATATTCATTTTTTTTTTTTTTTAATAAAAGCATATTCATTGTCGAATGCACTTGTTTTATATGTTGAAATCAGCTGATTAAGAAAATATTGCCGCCTTAACAACTTCTTGAATTAAATAAACTGACAGAAGATGTTTTTTAATTTGAAAAAGTCAATAAAAGTGTTCATTGCTGCATTGTTGATTTAAATAAGTAATTCACAGATCATCAATTACTTAGATTGGTCAAGTTAATAAGAGAGATTTATTAATAAGATCAAAACAATAATAAATACAATGAACAGATTATCATAATCTGATAAAAATTAATTCTCAATTTATCAAATGATTTCCGGACTTCATACGGATAAACTGAAAAAAATATTATTTTCTGAATATCATTCTCAACTTATTATAAGGTCTATAAATAAATATAGACGTTTGGCGAGGTTTTAAGTGAAACAGTATAATATAATGTAATATTATACTGTTATTTTATTTAGGTTATTAAAATAAAAGTTTCACAAAGTACAAGCTAATTACCCTACTACCTCTGACTATAATTACGTAGAAAAAAGAAGGAAGATACTAACTACCTATTTGAAATGGCGTTTAAGTGATTCTTTAAGTCCTATTAAATGTTGAACCATTCTTGAATAATTATTATAAAAAAAACGAACAATAATACTTTAAGAGATAATTTTTCAATATTGTTTTCTGTTAAACATGGTAATATTTTACCATTTTGGCGAAGGGGAGAGGAGGGCTTCAACCACAAAACTCTAGATTAACTAACTAAAACTCTAGATAGAAAACTAGAAAATCATATATCAAATAATAAGTACACTTGCTGCTGTCTGTTGCATATTTTACCCTTGTCCTCTAGTTTGAAACTTTTCATTCTGAAAATTCATAACCCCTCAAAATTTGTCCCCCTTTAAAATTCAAAATCCCATCAAGACGCGGGCGGATTTACGGGTGGGGGCTTTCGGACTGAAACCCCCTTCGCCCCAAAATGGTAAAATATAACCATGTTTTAGGGAAAAAATATTAAAAAATTATTTCTTAAAGTATTATTGTTCGTGTAATTACATTTAAAAGGACTTAAGGAATCACTTAAACACCATTTCATATAGATAGCTAGTTTCTTTCTTTTTTTCCAAAGTAAATATCGTCATTTTTATGAAAAAAAAGCTTTTGGGCTGAAGCTCCCCCCCAAAATTAAATCCTGGATCCGCTAGTGCATCAAGATGAGCCCCCTCAAAAATTATGATGCCGCAACTTGCGCCATGAAATCCCCTTCTGGGCAACCGTGTTCTTTTTCTCATCACGGCTCGATCGAGAACCCAGAACCAGAACTAGGTGGGGGGAGGAGGTCAAAGAAGGCTCTTCCCCCAGGGAGTAGAATAGAGGGGGAGACAATTTCAGAACGAAATATTGTTTCTAGGTCAAATAAAAAAATAATTGTTTCTGCCAGTAAAATGAGTTTATATTATGATATATTTATATTCATTTTGAAATATATTACCTAAAATACTTTTATATAAATGTGATTGGGAAGAGGAGAGGGGTGAAAGAAGGGGCTGAAGAATTAAGCTCCCCTTCTTTTAAAAATCTTAATTCCGGTCCTGAAGAACTGACCATTTTTAGAGAAATTCAATAAATGTTGGAGCCTCCTTGGCGTTAGCTTGGCCCGTTTGCTAGAGTGAAACGAAAAGGATGGTGATCATAATAAAATGTTTTGGCTATATTTGTTCCGCCATTTTTTTAATATTTAATTTTTCTTATTACAGTGAAAACGTTTCGGCTGTTGTCGCCATTTTCAATCCATTTTAATAATGATGTTCTTTATGTTATCACAAAATTATCCAATCAAGCACTAAACAACCAACATGTGCTAACCTAAAGAACATCATTATTAAAATGGCTTGAAAACGGCGACGACAGCCGAAACGAGAAAAATAAAAAAAATTGTGGAACAAATATAGCTTAAACATTTTCTTATGAATCTAATTAAACTAAAATGTAGTGAAGGATAGGAATCGTATTTTTCTATCTTGATGAGATTTCAGGCGGATCTACGTGTAGGGCTTTCCGGCTGAAGCCCCTCTCTCCAAAAAATAGTAAAATATAACCATTTTTTATGTAAAAAACATTAAAAATTATCTCTAAAAGTATTACTGTGTCATGTAATTGTATTTAATAGGACTTCAAGAATTACTTATCCCTCATTGGAAATAGGTAGTTGGTTTATTTATTTTTCTTCCAAACTAATTATTGTTATATATATAAATAAAAGCTTTCGGACTGAAGCTCCCCCAAAAATTAAATCCTGGATCCGCTAGTGAAAGAAAATAAAACCCACAGCATGGATTGATTCGACGACCAGTTAAACTGCCTTTAGTGATTAGATTAAATACTTCATTAGTATTTCACTATTTAAAATTTCTTGGCCATTGAGTATCAGTTATTAGGAATCAACAAATTCATGATTTAATGTCCCAAACAAATGGGATTTTTTCCTATAGAAATATGGAAGATCATCCCACGCCTAGAACGGCACGAAAGTATACTGCCATAGCAGCTCTTAACTAAATTAAGCACTTTTTATTTACATTAAAAAAATAAAAACACAATGACAGAAGGTTGAAAAATAAAAATAAAAACAGTCATCATAACATTATTGATTTAATGTGGGTTAGTTTGATAAAATAGAGATAAAATTAAGATAAATTGAATAATTTAAAATGTTCTTTGGATATAAACTACAACCAATCTTAATTGTTTTATTTATGAGATGAAATATTTTATCTTTATATAAATGATCTTAATATAAATCCGAAAGATGTTTTTCTAGTAGGAGTGAGATAGTTGTTTGGACGAAAGGCGTAGGATGTTTTATTTATAACTTCCCTCAGAATTATTTACGTGCGCAATTCAAAATTAAAATTTTTGTTTTATACATTTACGCTTCGTTATTATTTTGTATCCTTAACAATTAATTAAGGTTGTTATATGTGCATTTTAAACTACGGGTTAAATTAATTAATTCGTTTACTTCGCAAAAGACAAATGTGACTTTTTCAATGTTTAAAAAAAACGCGAAAAATTAATTTATACTGAAATGTTTAAAGATGAAAGTCTACAAAAATATATAGCGTAAAAAATCAATCAATACACTATTTATGCAAACTGTTTTCTTTGATTAAAACATGTGTCTAAGAATAATTGAAGTCTTAATTGAAAACAGATAAAAATTAAACTTGTGGCGTTTTTGAACGCTCCTACACACAGAACGCGTCCCCCGCGTTATATGTCCCGTAGATACGATATCCTTTGACGGTATTATCGCGCTCTGTGGGACTGCTATAATGCAACATATACTAACACACCATACCGCCGCCGATAGGAAAATCATATTACCGAGACATATCGAACTCTGTGTGTAGAATCCTTGAAATAAATGATTCAATTATATTCGTGAACACATAACTAATAAAGTTTTCATGTTCTTATATAATTTTCAAAAATACTTGCAACCCAAGTTTGGTCACCTTCAAATAAAGAAAAAAAAACAACATACAATTTTGTATGAAAATAACCTATACCAATAACAACCCATGAAGGGTCTTGGGAGCAGTAATACGTGAGAAAGGCCAAAGGCGGTGAAGAGAGGTGATTGACCCGAAATCACACCAACCACTAGGTTTCCCCGCTTAATTAATTATTTATAATTAAGAGTACCCACTTTAAAGAAGCTGGAGAGTGTGCCCCAGGAAGGTCTCCTGGCCCAAGGGTCGATCCACGGCCGATGAAAACTTACTAGTCATCAGCCGGATTCGAATCTGAGACCTTGAGCTCTAGAAATCAGTGTTCACCCACTGAGCTACCCCGCTGTTTGTCTGTGCGTCTGTGTGTGTCTTTGTGTTTCTGTGTGTGCGTGTCTGTACCTGTCTGTGTGTATCTGTGCGTGTTTCTGCGTTTCTGTTTGTGTGCACGTCTGTGCGTGTTTGCGTGTCAGTGTGTGTCTGTATGCGTGTCTGGGTGTTCATCTGTGTGTCTGGGTGTTTTATGATAAAGAAGTGTAAAAAAATATTAGAGAAACATCTTCTAAACAATAACCGGAGCGATCTCAAATCAGAGTACTATCGCATGGAGGAGAACGACCAATAAAGAACTGCTTACAGAAACAGGTCAATCAAAACCTCATCACATGAAGGCGACGGAGTTTGAAAAGTCATATCTTGTATTAAGTGGAATAAAAAATAAAAAAAATGTACTTCCTAAAAGTATTTTTCTCCTATTAAAAATAGCGAGTAGAACCTTCATAAACTGCTTGTTGCGAGAATTTGACGTTTTCCATAGAATCATACAATATTCCGTTTGTATTCATCTACAAAATGTTCATTAGCTGATTGTAAATTAATTGTATACAATATTATAAAAACATTATATTTTTTTGTCTCGTATTCAAATATTCATTATTATCATTTGGTAGACATAATTAAGTATAATTAATTTTTAACAGCAATTAATTAAAAACCTGGTATCTTTTATCGTCCGATAAGCAATTATGAAATCAAATTGCTTTTGAATTACTCTGTTAGCCAACTTAACTAGACTGAATAAAATATTTCAAACATCGTGGTCATTTCTAAGTACGGCTTTGTTTTGGCTTTTACATGTTATGAATTCTAACTAATTACAATTATAATTAAGGGTGCTTATAAAAATTAAAATACCCACAATGAAATATAAATAAATATATCATTTATAATTTTTACTGTCACTTCCCCTTTGTCTGAAAATACTTATTTCTGCTAAGAAGAGGGTGATAAGTGAAAGTTGTGTGATGCGCACACCGCACCAGATTTTTATATTTCGAGCTATTTTTCCTGATATTAATCCAACCATTCATTACTATATCATTAATATATATATGGTAATCCGCGCTACAGACCCAACAACAATTACCAACAACAGAACAATTATCTAAAACTTCGTGAATAGCTCCATTTTATCGTAACCTACAGCATAGAAGCAGATTTTCGATTTTGATTGGGGGAGAGGGATGATGGACAAAAAAAATCCCTTATAATTTTACTATTTATTCCCTTTTTCATCAAAGCTTTCGCGCTGAAGCCCCTCCCCCAAAAAAAAAAAAAAATGGTAAAATATAACCATGTTTTATAGAAAAATATATTTAAAAAATATCTCTTAAAGTAATATTATTCGTGTAATCACTTTTAAAAGGACTTAAGGAATCACTTAAACACCATTTAATATAGATAGTTAGTTTCTTTCGTTTTTTCCAAAGTAATTATCGTCATTTTTATGAAAAAAAAAGCTTTTGGGCTGAAGCCTCCCCCAAAATTAAATCCTGGATCCGCTAGTATCTCCACCTGATAATAGACATCATTCACATATTTCCATACTATTTCATCAGTTGTTTTCTGCCCAATATTTTATGTGTATTATTCGGACGGGCCAGCTAATTTGTTTCTTAGTTTGATAAATTAGTTAACAAAAAAATGGAGATGGTGTTCTTTAACTCCGGAGCACAGATATTTTGTCGACGTAACAAATACGAGTTTTAGGGCGACTGGATCGCGGAAATTCTACAAATCTCGGAGATTGAAATACTACACAGATATGACGTTGTCCGAGGAATTTTCACTGATATCCAAGTTCGTGAAGCTTATGAATAACACTTGAATATATGTAATTTTATGGTTAGGTTCTTGTTTCTTTTCACCACTAAAAGAACCACAGCCTCAAGGTTTAACCAAATGGCTTACAAATATCCACTGTTCTAATCCCTTTTGCATCATTACCATGGATTCCAATTATTAAAAAAAAAAAACGGAAGCAAAAAACATGTGTTTTTTAACCTTTCCAGTCTCTAACAATTTATACCATACCGTCGGTTCATTGCAAAAAGTCATTACGAGATCTGCCATGGATACTAGTGTTGCTCAAATGCGAGACCGCGACGAGTCTTGGTCTTGCAAACTCAGTCTTGGTCATGGTCTTGGTCTCGCGCAAGAGTCTCACAACAGTCTTGCAGTTCCTTATTAGCTTGTTAGTATAGAGATGTTACTGTAATTTTTTAGATAGGAGAAACCTAACTAAACCCGAATGAAAAATTAGAGGAGTTAAATGCAAAAGTATATTGGTTATACCAACTCTTTACATATAGTAACTAAAATTGTCAAGTATTAGTAACTATGTTGCTTTAATTTTTATTTAAAAAATCGATTTTTTTTACGAGTCCTGGTTTTGGTCTTGCAACAGTTAGGCGGCCTTGGACCGATTTTGGGAAACACTAATGGATAGGTCAAAAGTTGTCACACTAATTGTAAGTGGATAATGTTGTGATTTCACAAAGAGAAAATTAGTAAAATTATTCACTAATTTAATTTTCTAAAAGGTTGCTTGATGATTTTGTTTTGGAGTAAACGGCCAATAGATACCTAATTATTTAAATATAATAACATATTTAGAGTGATTAAATTACAGTAAATGTATTTGAGGTTATAAACATATCCAAGTATAATAAAACAGTATTTTAAGCAATAGCATTGGCTTAATTCGGTGGATTTTAACTAATTTTATTTCAAACTTAGAAAAAAATTTAAAAGTTTACATTGAGTAAGAAAATTTCATTTAATTTCCTTTGGAAAATGTGATTTACGTTAAATAATGTTAGTTTTCTGAAATTATTATTAATTTTGTTTTCGTTACTCTTCGTTACCTTCTACAACTTTGTTCATACGATATTATTTTTTCTATAATTCTCCGCTTTCCATCGATCCATTTTTTATAGTTATAGTCAATAAAAGGGAGTTCATTTTTATAAATAAACAATTTTAAAGTTACTTTGGAGTAAGACGTATGTGAACATTCAGCACTTAAGCCCGCTAAATGGACATCAATGGGGATAAGATATAAATGATATTAAAGACGACTTAATTATACAACGACAAACCGAGTTTAATCAAAATTGTTAGATCCATTTTAGAGAAAATTGTAAATGTGTTTGATATAAAGTGGCACACCCGATAAGTCGATTTTATCGAAAAAGTTGCTGTAACATCTGAGTCATATACCTATCATAAATACGTAATATCAGTTTCGTACGACTTTTCTCATTTTTGAGCTTTTCACATACACACACACACATACAGACCATTTTGCGGTGCTTGGTTATTTGGACTCAGGGGACCTCAAAATGTGTTGAAAACTTGAAGGCCGTTGAAAACTCGGATTCGAACATTTTCACGATCGCAATACTTTCCCTTACTATATATTACATATATAGGTAAGTGAAAGTAAAAAAAATACGTTTTATGAAAACGTAAATGTCGAAGCCATACTTATCACAAAATAACTGCCATTCAATTTCAAATATGTTAAGACCAACTAATTAATAAAATGTAAAATAAACTTACCTTTGTTGTAAACAAAAGGAAGTAACAAATGAAAAATGCTGTCTCTTACGTGTCAGTTGTGAAGAGTTCGCAGTCATGGGTGCCTTAAGCGAATTCCTTAAACTTGGTTTTGAACAAAAAATGTCTTCGTTTTTTAAAAAAAGGAAAATAAGTGACATTCTATCACACATCCGACAGCAGAGAACAAGACGGTTATAATTTCTTAATCATAACCTTTGCGACAAAATATTAAACCAGCCGAAATTCAACATGTGATTTTTTATAATAGTTACCGAATGCTCTATATAATGTAACCAAAAAGGTTTCAAAGTCAGTAATTTTATACCTACGCAACGGATTTACTTACTTCATGGTAAAAGTCCTGTTGGTTTTTACAAAAATAGTTCCTAAAATATAATCTAATCACATGTATTAAATGATATTTGCGTTTTGGATTGTTATAACCTTGTTGAGAAATATATATACAGTTATATTCAAATTTAATTAAATGTTTTATTAGATAAATCTCATATATTTTAGAATATACTATCTAAATTGAATTATTTATTGTACGTAATTGATTTAAATGTATAACGTGAAAAGTAACTCATGAAAACATGTGAATGGTAAGAGATTTATTGTTTACTCGGTAAAATTCAAAGTATTTTATAAAAAAAAAAAAAATAATTTTTAATTAACACGGAATTATGTGCTGTTTCAACTTTTTTTATTTTAGTAAAACATTATGATTAGATAATAAATTATTATTTACGATGGTGGAGATATTATCAACCGTCAATGTAACAAGTGGAAGGAAGTTGTTGGAGGCAAGCCTATTAAACAGAAATTAAAATTTGGAAATTTGAATGCATTAGTGACGAACTAATATCATTTTTCCAAGCAGTTTTTAACTTAATGGACCCATTAATAATACCATGATATAATAGTTGAAGAAAGGAAAATTATATTTTTTACTTTGACTTACCTATATATGACATATAGAGTAAGGGAAAGTACTGCGATTGTGAAAAATTTCGAATCTGATTTTTCAACGGAAATACATGTTTTGAGGTCCCCTGAGGCGAAATCACCAAGTCTCGCAAAATAGTCTGTGTGTGTTAACAGTCTAGCTCAAAACGGAAAAGTCGTACGAAAGTGAAATTTCATATTTAAGGTTTTTATATCCTAGGGATGTTACAATAACTTTTTCGTCAAAATCGGCTAACCGGAAGTGACATTTTATATAATGGACTAAACACATTTTTTAAGATTTTCTCGAAAATGGCTCGAACGATTTTGATTGAATTCATCATATCAGTGTAAAATTAAGCATTTTTAAATAAAAGGTAGGTTTTATTCTAATTGATGTTCCCTAACAGGGTTTAAATGGCGCTAATTTTCAATATTAGCTTCCCCTAAAGTACCTTTATTTTATTTTTTTTTATTTGAAACAATGGACCATTTCACATTCATCTCTAATATAAAATATAGTTAAATATAAAACATGAAAGAATTGAATAATTAACTAAAGGAGAAATGAGAGATCGTAACGGAGAATAGTTGTAATTGAAGATCCAAAGGAATACGAGCGCACCCGAAAGATTAGAACACGCTTCCATACGTAACATGAGCTTAATATAATAAGGACTCCGACAATATTATGTAAATATACATATGCGGTTTTCATAGATGCTATTGTTAGTATTATTTAATATTTAATTGTATAGAGTACGGCGATATAAATATTAAAATTTGAATATATAAGGGTACTTATAAAAATAAAAATACGCACAATGAAATTTTAACTTTCACTTCCCCTTTGTCTGAAAATACTTATTTCTGCTAAGAAGAGGGTGGTAAGTGAAAGTTGTGTGATGCGCACACCGCACCAGATTTTTATATTTCGAGCTATTTTTCCTGATATTAATCCAATCATTCATTGCTATTAATACATATATGGTAGTCCGTGGTACAGACCCTTTTTTACCAAATTATTAACAATTAACTAAAACTTCGTGAATAGCTCCATTTTATCGTAACCTACAGCATAGAAGCAGATTTTCGATTTTGATTGGGGGAGAGGGACGATGGACAAAAAAAAAAAATCCCTTATAATTTTACTATTTATTCCCTTTTTCATCAACGTTTGGAAATTTTTTCTCAAAAAATCGAAAAAAGCTCCCCAGAAGTCTGTGCCTATGACCTACATCATTTATATTTCCGAAAATTCTTGGAAATGGGAGGATTTTAATTTGGAGATCGGTAACATTTATCTATTTAATGACATACTAAAAACTCATGAAATGGGTATTTGCTTACGACTTGAATCGCAAGCTAATGTGAACACAAAATCGAGAGAAAAGATGACCAATAAAAATATTGGGACGTTTGGCGTGACCTCTACCAATAGTAATATTTTTGTAGGCCACCTTTTTTCTCGATTTTGTGTTCACATCATCTTACGATTCAAGTGAAAATCAAATGGGAATTTAAGAGTTTTTAGTACCTCATTAAATTAATTAATTCAACGAGAAAACATCCCATTTCTGAGAATTTTCGTAAATCAAAAAGTTGTAGGTTGCGATAAGATGAAGCCGTTCACGAAGCTGAGATTAATAATTTGATAAAAAGGAGTTTGCAGTTATTTTGTCAATGAAAAGGAACGAAACAGTATAACTCGCTGAAAACAGCTGTTCACCTATTCCAATTTCCTACAGACAAGGATTTGGATAGGAATAAGACTGCGTGTCACTACGCCGCTACTGATTTTTTCGATGTTTGTTTTGAACTGACAGCTGGATAGGTGCCAATCTTGAAATAAATTGTTTTCGGTTTTTTTCAATCTTTAATATGCGGATATGGTGAGTTGGAACTGTAATAAAAAAAATCATGAAGATGTCCAACACCCAATCCTGGAAATGAAAAACTCTAGAATGATCTATTACTTTAAAAGAACTTAAATTCGTTGATTACGGAATTCGACAATGACTTACCGATTAATATATTGTTTTTTTTTTTTAAGGAAGGAGATGGTCCGGGGTGGCGGTCATAAATAGTGGTGGAAAAACTATTTTATTAAAAGCCAACGGTTCACTTAAAACTCAATTCAGTTCTAAGCGAAACTCCTAGCTGAACACACCTCCCTGAAGAAGACTTGCAAAGTCGGGTCGAAACGTTGGCTTTTAATAAAATAGTTTTGCCACTATTTAGCCTATTTATGACCGCCACCCCGGACTGTCTACTTCCTTTATAATGCAACGGTCAACTATTAAATATTCAATATTGTTTTTTCTTGCTGGCAAGCAAGGGTTTCAGGCGTCAGAGGCGAATTTTTCACTAGGCACTCTTCTTGCACCCAAATCAGTCATTTTCGCGAATTACACAGGTGGACCTACAGGGCAGGGTGCTTTCGGGCTAAAGTATCTCCTCTCCCCCCAAAATGGTAAAATAAAACCATGCCTGAAAAAATTGTTAAAAAATTATCTCAAAAAGTATTATTGTTCATGTAATTACATTTAATGAGTAAATACATTTAAAAAGTTAAGGACGTGGGATCTGATTTCAATGAAATATGGTGATACATTATTTTAAATTATTAAACATGTGTCCGAGAGCTCTAGCCAAAGTGCCTTAAAAGCCAAGAAAAAAACATTAATATAATTTCAACATGACAAAAAGTAATTTCATATAATTGCCTTGCTTGGCTCTACGTGGATTTCTAGTTTATTATATCCAGGGGTGCCCATCCCTACTAAGGTCGATGGCGCACAAATCTCCCTCCCCTCTCCATAAATTGTATTATTTTCCTCTTCTTAAATGCTGTGTAAACGAAATTATAATTAGAAAAATCGTATATTATAATCAATTACACTAACCTAGTTCTCTATTTTGAAGCTTTTCACACTGAAAATTTATAGCTCCGTCAAAATGTGCCCTCTCAAAAGTTCAAAATTCCCTCAAAATGTGTTCCCCTCAAAAACTTAGATGGCCTTTCTGGGTACCCCTGATATATCTAAACATTTTTTTGTGTGTAAAATAAGAAAAAAATATATCGATTATATTAAATGAATTGAAAATTATAAGAAATTACTAAAACCAAAAGATGTTGCCTGCTAAGATGAAAATTTTTGTCATGAAAAACAAAGCCAGCTTTTTTTTTTTTTTTTTTTTTTTTACTAATTCGTATTGAACTAAAAACTAGAAAATTTTGGAGTCAGTTGAATGGAAGGATTTTTTTATTGTTGCCGTTTAACAACTCCTCAGGATTTTTCTCAAATTCGAATTACCTCAATCTATGGAAAACTGAATTAGTAAGTGCTCTTCAATTCTTAATAATAACTTTTATAATTTATGCCTTTATACGGAATATTTCGACAAGGAGGTTCAAATCAACCCCTTGTAAAGACAGGACATTCAAAGAAAAAACTGGAATAGGCGAAAACCTATTTTAAGCAAGTTATACTGTTTCATTTCTTTCCATACCTGTTATCAGTTTATTATCTATAATATAATATAATTATTACTTGTAAGGTTTGTAGGACCCTTTTATAACTCACTTTTTTAGGTAAATTACTAAAATATTGGAATAGCAGTGAAACTCTGATCCTCTTATAAAATGTTGGAGAAGGGGGAGTAGAAAGTATCTCCAGTGTTAGCTATATTGGGAAGGGAACACATGTATTAAAAGTTATATACAAGTTGGAATATATAAGGAACAAGTTATATATGGAATGTAACTTGTTGACTATTTTATCAAATTATAATAATTATGTTCCTTTATAAAACATACTGTTTATATATGTATTTTCTACATCCGACAATTTCCGCCATCCATCCACTCTCGTCTCGGGTAGTTGAAATCATTCAGAATGGTATCACAACCAAAAAGTAAAAATAAAATACTCTGTACTCTGATAAACGAACCCTCTATATTAAAATGCAATTAAGCAATAAAAAGAGCACTGTAATCTTGTAAATACGAATCTATGTGTTTATAAACATTTTGAAAAATAATATAGGCGGAGGTTAAGAAAAAAAAAAAAAGGTTTTTCAATTCGTATAGAATCAATGGCGACTGTATAGTGAGACACCGTTAAAAAAAAAATCCATTGTAGGTCGATTCCGTTTTTCGTTTCATAACCATTGGCAAAATATCAATTGCGTATTGCTTAATGTAAATCTATTTTCAGAACAAGATTGAAACCTTGGCTACGCATTTAAAATACTTCCCTATTATAAAAACCTCGAATCGAAAATAAAAGAAAATATCACTCAACCGGTTTCATAGTGCTGAAATAAACATTTATTGTGTTTGTTGGCATCTGTTTCCCTCAAGACAATCTATTTTTATTATAAATAAATATAAAAATAGAAATGTAATGTTGAAGTAAATAATCAATAATTTTCGTTTTACCAACTTTTTTT